TACCTTGAACTACGAGCTACAGTGATTGGAGATTTACAGGTGAGTTCTGAAATAATCTCATGATAGCAACAAAGATTTTTGACTGAGATTATCAACATTATCAGGCTCTCACTAGTTCATTTGGTCTTATCTATGATGCATGGACAACCAAAGGCAACCGATACGGGGTTATCGGCGCTACCGTCACTTATATCACTTCCAATTGGAGCTTTGTCACTCAACACTTTGCTCTCAAACTCATAGCTTGGCACCATAAGGGCAAATGGCTTGCCGAGCCATTAATCAACCTCTTGACCAAACATGGCTTACATTCCAAGATAAGTATTTCCGCTATTTTATTCCAATCTTATCTTTTCCTATGACATTCTACTAATTTATCATTCTCAATATTCACATGCTAGCTCAGACCCATGACTCTGGAAGCAACAACAACACCCTGGCCAAAGCAATGCAAGTCAGGCTCAGCAAGTACTGTCAAGATTGAAACAAGGATTTTACTTGGGATCATCAGACAGACAGAGTTCGGTGTGTCTGTCACAAATTGGCACTCATTGTGAATGCGGGTCTGCAAGCGCTGGGAATCCAGGCACCCCCTCCTCCGCTGGTCAAAACTTCAATGTTGGGCAATTTTCCAGTTCAAACGCACACTTTACAGACCGTGATAGAAGAAGATGAGAGCGATGAGACCAACAAGATATCCGACGACCAATCAGATGCAGACAGTGAAGTCGACAATGTCGATGCGACGGTCCCTGAACAGGCTAGTACTAGTAGTACTTGGTATGACGTTATTGATGGCCCGTATGAAATCGAAGAACTTTCTGCAACCGACCGGAACGCCGCCAACGCAGTTCACTTGCTCACAACCAAAGTAAGTGAAGTGACCCAACAGTTTTATACTTTTAATATAACAGCATGCTGACATCAGTAAGTACTTTACTTTTCACACCATAGCTTGACATTGTAGGGCGTAAGATTGGTGGTTCTGCAGTTATGTGCATGCTTTTCGACGCCGTCAGCCAGGCATTGTTGAAGCAAAAACTTCCAAGGCCGATCCCCGGTTATGGTATTTGATGGAATATCAAATTGCAATGCTGGACTCGGTTGTACAACGCCCGTGAGGTAAGCAAGTCATTATGATATTCTCTCAATCTGTTCATCTTACTGATAATCTATCAACCCTTTACAACTAGGTCATCGATCAAATTCTGAAAGAAGATCAGATGGAACAGCCCCGCAGAGGTCAAACCAGTCGCGCTGGCAAGACTGCCCTCCCTCCGGATATTAATCAACCACGAGGAATATTCAATAAGATCATGATTTTGCCCGATGAATGGCGACAAGTGAGGGAGCTCATGGAGCTTCTCCAGGTGAGTAACTCTGGTGTTGCTGATGTGTTTGGGAGGAATTAACAAAGATTATTTATTACACATATTGCAGGAGTTTGAAAATTTAACTAAATTCTTCGAACAAGACAGACCCACGGCCTCACTTGTCATACGCGAGTATGTCAAGCTTCAGAAATATCTTCAAAAGAAGATTGACACCACTTGATCACAAAGCGCACCACTTTTCCCTATGCACCACGCCATGCTGGTGCGAGTGAAGTCGTACCTCAAGGAAGCACTCCGATCTAACACATTATTCCTTGCAACGGTTTTGAATCCAAGCCTACGCTTGGAGTACTTCGACTTTGCTTTTGGACCCAATTCCGAAGAGGCAGTAACGGCGAAGTTACTTATGAATGACGTTTACGACCATTGAAAGGCTGTAGTGGCGAACGAATTAGTGAATAATGTTTCAGCCTTACCTAATCCTGTTGGTCAAAGCAAGAAGTTGAACAAAGAGGACAAGGAGTTCCGTAAGCACAAGGAACGCAACCGTCGAAACACAGCCAACGAGCTTCGATCCTACTTGGACATGGCAGATGAACCGGCTCCTGAGGTGGCCGAGAACCCTCATCTAGCGTTGGAGTGGTGGAGGGTTTGTCTCCTTTCTCTTGTTTAAAAAGAAACAATAAACTGACTCTCATGTATTGTGCAGCTCAACGCAGGCAAATATCCGGTCCTAAGTTCCCTCGCACGCGACTATCTTGCTATCAGTGCGACGGCGTGCCCCGTGGAGAGAGGATTTTCTGCCTCTGCTGATGTCTGCTCACAGGATCGAATGGCTCTTGAGCCAAGAACCATTGAGCGCACTGTAGGGGGACTTACAGCCGTTGTGAGAACTATTGGTAAGTTTTGAGGTGGTGGGTGTCGCCAAGTTTTAACTAGAGTTTAATCTTTGGTCCAAAACTCAGTTTTTTTTGATCTCACAGGCCTAAACCTTGTTTTGGCTCCTGCAATATGCCTGTATCTCACGGTACTCATGGTCAAAAAGGAGTTTTTTTTAGTTTTTGCCAGTTTTGGATTAAATCTCAACACAACACAAAATAAAAAAAAGTTACCGTTAGTTCTCACAACGGCTGTATATGGTCTGTACAAGGTGTAAAAATGGCCGGCAAGTTTGAAGCCGCTCAAGAGATGATGGCAGATTGTATTGCAAAGGATCAAGTGGCGCGGGAGAGAAGGAAGTGAAAGTGATAGTCACTTTTGTCTATTACTTTTGTGTCTCGTTTTTTTCTATCTCTCTCTTTTCCTATTTGTCTCTTTCTCTTTCTTTTCCTATTTGTTTTATTTATTATCGTTTGTCTTTTGTTTCGCGAACTTCATCTCATTGTGGTTGTCAAGGCAGACGGTACGGTACTTTGCTGGTATTTCACGGCACGGTACGTTATCGTACCGTACCGTGGTTGTATCTCGCGGTACGGTATAGTACCGTACCGTTTTGTATACAGTCTAACCCGCGCAAATGCATAACTTGGGTGGAAGGCTTTCGCTATGCATTTTGACGGGTTATGCAATTCCATTGTCAAATTTGGCAGTAAAAAGTATCAAAATTTAGGATTTTTTTTATGCATTATCACGGGTTATGCAGTTGCGCGGGTATGCATTTGCGCAGGTCAGACTGTATGACAATACGGCACCCCCATCCAGTAAATATGGGTATCGTGAGCTTCGGTAGGGTATCTGGTACCGTATCCGAATCCAGGTACAATACTTGATACCAGGATTAAGGGTATTGACCACGGATACTCGCCACATCCAGCTATTTAAATAAATAGGAAATGGATCTGTATGGCACAATGTCACTGTAAATGCACATTAGAGCGGAGTCAGGATTGGTAAACAATCGAAGACAGTACATACACGTTCTAGCTTTCCTTTCCTTCCACCTTAGATTGGGGATGAGTCTGAGAAGCAGAACTGTCACTGATGCTCAAATCCCTGCATTTGAAGGACCATCCAAGAGAACAGTCGCAAATGGTAAACATCCCCGACAGAACATACAATCCCTGGGATCCTTATCTTCCACCTTAGATTGGGGATGAGTAAGCGAACTACAGTCATTCCAAAATACCTTGTCAGGTCGAAATTTAATAAGATATTATTTCGGCCAATACAGGCACTTATATGCTTATACATAGCCTTCAATCAAGATTGAGATATCTCGATTGAATTCGGGCTGTTGACCTCCATGCCCTCGATCCCAATTCCCACCACATCCCACCACAACAATACCCTCGATCCCATCCCATCACTTCACCCATACCCAATACCACCATGCCCACGAGGGTTAGCAAGAAACAACACGCTGAGGATGCAGCGCAAGCGAAGAAAGACTTGTAAGTTTCTTCTTGTCTGCTTCTTTTCCTCTTCTTTTCAACGATTTCAACCACTGAATGATTTCTCTAGTGAATTGAGACGAGATCGACGGGCTGGACCAGAAGGCCTCAGTCCTGATCTTGGCAGAGGTGGAACCCCTTGCCATTTCAACAAGTGAGTTCCTTTTCTAAATCTTATTCTTGAAATCATTCCAATGGCTGATTACCTTTGATTTGGAACTTTAGAGAGGGACATCATTGGGAAGATTGTACGGCTGGTCGACGTCAATACCTCGACACGGAAGTCTTTCATATTGATCCATTCGGTCAAGTAGGCTCTCGAGAATTTTGTTGTCGACTCCACCCCGAAACCAACGAAGGCAAGTGATTTTGACCTTCTCGTTCTGTTCATTCCTTTCAATATATGCTGATTCTTCTGCTTGTTTTCTTTTTCCGTTTGGTTTGATCTTCTCCAGCTCCAAAACCGTCTGAAGAAGCTATGCACCCCAATGAAGCTCACCAAGACCCGATGTTCAATACTCCCAGCAGTAATGTTCAAGCTCGTCCTAGTAAGCCTTCCATTCTATCCCTAACATCATTTTTGAACTTGCTCTGATTTGGAATTGATCAGAATCTAATATCGATATAGACTTGACTGGATCACCATGCCCAGCACCCTCCTACTCGGTTCGTCCTGGACCTGGTGTGGAGTATGAGGCCAAACCAAGTCATGTGAAGATTTGGTTTCATGCCTTCACTCCAATTCCGAAGACGAAGGCCGAGATTCAAGCTGGAACCGCCCAGAAATACATTGATTACACAAGTGACCCAGCTTTCGACGCTGTGATTCAAATCCATGGGGCTGAGCTTATTAGCGTACAGGATTCGGTTTTTGATGCTTGTAATGCTTACAAGACAGTTTGTGGAACGATCCTCAAGGAGTCTCACGAAGAGGGACATGTGAAATTCAAAGGCTATGTTGCTGGACGTGGCGACTTTCTCAAATCTGCTTTGAAGACCATTACGTCGGAGGAAATCTTTGGTAAGTTTAAGGCAACAATGATCGAGAACAAGGATAGCGAGGTGGGTTTTCGACTATTCATGGACAACCCAAAAACTGTCAAACGCTTGAAGTCAAAAGTAAGCTCTTTTTCATTTCTACTTCTGTTCAAGTGTTTCAGATATCCATCAAGACTCATTTTATCTTTGATGAAATCAACAGGAGGACGATTTTGATCGAGCAACTGTCAAATCTCATCCAAACTCATTGACTCCAGCCCGAGTCAGTGAGTTAGAAATGCTGGTAAGTGTTTCTTTTATTTTGTTTTCATCCACTATCTTCATTGATTCCTTGTTTGTTACAGGGAATCGATATTCAACCAGAATGGCAAAAAGTCAGAGTAAGCCTCATGAGACGATTTGGATGTGTTCCGATTGGAGGTAGAGAATGCATGGGATGCATCAATCCAGAGAACTCAAAGGAAGCGGTCTACTTGAGCCATGCCATGATGGACACCTGGGCTCAAGACGCAGTAAGTGTTTCTTTCATAATTATCTTACTGACACTTTACTAATGTACATTTTATCTTTGTTAGGTGGAACACAAGAATGGTGCTACTGAGATGATGCCACCCACTCGCCGAATCGAATTCCGATTTATTCCCATCCAATCTAAACCAGGTCGGCAATTAGAAAGTACTGCCAGTACCACCCAGTCGACCTCACAGATTCCCATCAATCAACCCGATTCGCCACCACCTTATCCTCTTCCGCCCTTTGAAGACTATCTCAAATTTGCCAATATTTCACCAAAGGATCAATCAACCCGAGACATTCTTGTCAAATGTGACATCATCGACTTCGAATCTTTCCTGTCTAACTCAATGGATGTTCCCACCCTCGAGAGGTTGGGATTTGCTTATGGCACTGCAGTCCGTTTACACGACAGAGCACCATTATATCGAACTGACCTCAAAAACCGCAAGAATGATATTTGAAGGAACATCATCAAAGAGTTAACCTGTCTTAATGGTAAACATTACTTGTCTTTGTAGCTTAACAAGATATTGCTGTATTCGTTATTAACCCCCCAACAAATGTATGACTGAACCATATGTACTGCTGAAATTAAAAAATCTGTGTGTTTGTGAAAAAATTGACCTGTGAGATAACCAGACTTTGCCTCTGTGAGTTCATACAAATTAAATGAGAAGTAAAATTGGCCATAGATCTCTCATGTGAGCTCTTTATTTGATCAATTCATCAATTGAACCTGAAAATTCTAACAATCAGCTGAATTCTAAATTCTTTGATTTCTAAGATCTGTGAATTTTTTGATTGCTCAGATTGCATGCAGAGAAGTGCAACTCAATACAAGCATGGATTTCTAAAAACCCTTGAATTGTAGATTCTCTCAGAGCAACTTGGACCAATAGGAAACAAACATAGAATGGGTATTAGAACCCTTTTGCATTTCTTAACCAGAGAGAAGGAAGTTTTTTTTGAGAACAGGCTGCTGGACTTGTATTTGAGATTGATGAGTGAAACTGTAATTGTACAACAAGTCGTTTAGGAATTTTAAGATCACTCGGTATGGAAATATCCACAAGTTCTGTAAAGACTCGTAATCAGTGAGCTGGTAGAAACTTCGCTCATCACCACTAGCATACAGCCCAACTTATCAACCGTATTCTCCAGCATCCGATTCCTTCTGAGCCGGTCTTTGAAGACGTCAAAAATACGTTATATTGGGTTGAACTCTGGTGAAACCGGCGGTAAGTATTGTAAAAGTATACCATTCTCTTCGCACATCTCTTCAATCGCACCACCATGATGGATGGTGGCATTGTCGAGCACCAAAACCGAATTGCGAGCCGGATATGCGTTCATCACAGGAAGCTGGAATCAAATCAATCAGTTTGATTGATTAAAAACAAAACACATGAAGAACCTGAAGCACTTACCAAGACGTGCTTCAAGAAAGCTTCAAAGTCGGTCCGAAGATAGGCACCCACTTTTGAATGGGCTGCCAATAGTCCCATCTCACATACAGCTGCAAGCATGCTGTAGTGAGGTCCAATTCGCTTCCGTTTCAACTTCGGTGGACGTTCGCCTCGCTTGGATCGGACCTTTGAGCGCATCACATCTAGTGATCGGAGACCAGTTTCATCTGATTGATACATAAGAATTGTTTCAATTCAGTTATTGAAGCAGTTATCAAAGAAAAGAAGAAGCGAGAAAAAAGCTTACCCATGAACACAAGGCACTTTGATGGGATGTTGGCAATTCGCATCGAAAAAGCAGCTCGAATTTCAGGTGATTGATTGGGGTCAACCTTAGATGCTTTATGAATGGTAAGAGAAAGTCGCTCTTTCAAATCGTTCGCAATAGTCTGTAGACAAGCACTGAGGTCGGTATGATTGTACATTGCCTCCTGAATCTCATCGAGGAAAAGCATCGGATCATCTTCAATAAGCTCTACCATAAATTCACGATCTTTGTATGAGTAGATGGTTGGACGGCCTTGCTTCTTGTACGTAGTCGGATCTCTGACAACAGCGTGAGTATGTTCATAAAGAGTCTTCCATCGGGAGAAAGACCTGGCTGAAATGTCGGTTAAAAGTTCGGTGTTAATTTCTTTAATTGATTGACCATGAAGAAACTTGTTGATGGCGATGACCTTGATTTGAGCACTGTACTTGATGAAAGGCATGGTGGTATTGGGTATGGGTGAAGTGATGGGATGGGATCGAGGGTATTGTTGTGGTGGGATGTGGTGGGAATTGGGATCGAGGGCATGGAGGTCAACAGCCCAAATTCAATCGAGATATCTCAATCTTGATTGAAGGCTATGCTTATATAAGTGCCTGTATTGGCCGAAATAATATTTTATTAAATTTCGACCTGACAAGGTATTTTGGAATGACTGTAAATTGTCACTGTTACTCTCTTTAAAAAAAAACAGATAGTGATAAATGTGTATTGATCTAAAGACACCTCTGATGCTTGTACCGACTAGATGGCCGCATTTTCGGGTGTACTAGTTTCCTCCAAATTATTTGCTCAGTTAGTGTAATATGCAATTAAAGCAATGAAGCACTTAAAAAAAAAAAAAAAAAAAAAACAAAGACCACAGATACGGTACTGGTATCGCCGGTACGATACTGGTACCGTATCTGTGGCGGCCTTGGTAAATACCTCGTAGCACGTCAATGTGCGCACACGACAAGATCAAACAACTAAAGGAAAGATACCTGTTTTCGCATAGTTACCACGCGAAGGAATGTCGTTGCCTGAAACGCCTAGAGACCTACCCGAGACCCTACTCGAGACCTCCCGGAGCGCCTTGAGACTCATATGAAGCCTGAGACCCTACTCGAGACCCTACTCGAGACCCTGTTCGAAGCGCCTTGAGACTCATCCGAGACCCTACTCGAGACCCTACCCGGCGCGCCTTGAGACTCATGAGACTCATATGAAGTCTAGAGTAGAATCTAAGACTTACTCGAGCCCCTATCCGAGACCCTACTCGAGACCCTACTCGAGACCCTGTCCGAAGCGCTCTGAGACTCATATGGAGTCTGTACTGTGACATGTGCTGATTTGTGGACTCCGTAAACACGTCACGAGCGACCTCCCGACGTGCAACCCTCAATTTACTCAGCCTCCGCCGCGTTCGACAGGTATGCCCCTCAGATAAAAGCGTTGAGTACGACTTTCCTCTGCTGAGACCTGATTAGACCCGCTGCCTCCGTCGTCGTCACCGCGATGGACTCAAGTGAAACGCCCCTTCGTTCAACGAGTCCCTATTCAGCGAAATGAGGAGTTGCGCGCCTTTACGCCGTGCCGCGCCAACAACGCGCGTTATGATGACCACTACCTGGAGCCATCGGTGTGAAACTTGAGAGTTAAATATTGCATTATAAATACGACACCACCGAAGCAGGGGAATAGCCTATGAGATCGAAAAAGCATCTTCGCCTCTCCATCCAAATTACACTTTCAATAAACTTCTCTACAGTGTGTGTCTATTTCTCCTAACGATTCTCTTTTCCGTTGATCACCATCGCACTTCCTCGACATGTCTCGCAATGAGAGCCGCGCGCCGTCGCATACCGTTAGGGTCAATTATACCGGCGAGGCGGGTGAACCAGTGAGTTCTGCATTCCGTCCCAACGCACGTTGACACTTTGCTGATACATCTGCCGTCATAGGGCCCTGTCACGGGGCCAGCAGGCAAAGGTTTCCTGTCCCACTTGGCAGCAGTCCTCACTTCTGGAATGAATGGTTCCAAGCCGTTTTCGAATCCATTTTATCTCACATCTTACGGACCAACTCTTGATTCATTGGTCGAAGGATCACTCTATGGCATGACGTGCAAGATGATCGGCTCCAATGACCATAATTACGATCATTTCCATTTCGAAAATGCTAATCGCATCAACTTCGGTCAAAGCGCCACTCTAGGTGAGAACATTCCCGAGGACCTCATAGACAAGATTACAATGATCGCAATGGGAGTCATAGTCGCGATCGACACCATCAAAGACCCATTATATAAGGGCAAAACGACTGTAATTGCCACTTTGAAACATACTGACTATGACCCATTCGTAAGCAGCCATTCCCTCATAATGATATTCATCGCTAACGCTTCGCATCTATTGTAGACTCGCATGAACCTGAGCTGGATGACACAACATTATGTGCCACCAGTCCGAAACATGGAGCGCGCTCAAGTTCTCTGCGTGATTGGGCGTGAGGCACAGTTCACCGGGTTGCTCCGTGATTATGACGCCAAAAAGTTCATGTGGTGCTGTGAGGTCGGTTATTTTTTTAGACTTTCATCCAGACTTCTACTGACTCTGCATCCTGCAGACACATGCTATCAGCGTTACCAGCGGCCACACAGCCCCCATCAAAACTTCGCCAAAGGCAGCTGGGAAACCAACTCACAGTAGGACGCCTTTGAACATGTAAGTTCTCCGGTTCCCCTGCCTTTATTGACTGCGGCTGACTCAACGATAATGATGAACCCAGGCGCCCCAAGTTAGCTAGCGAGACTCCACCAAAGCGCCCTTTCTGTACGGAGGAGAATGCCGGCCCGTCGAACTCTGATATTGGAATACCTAATGAGAGTCTTGCTGAGGTCGATGAGACCACGGCGGCAACTACTCCCAATGTGGCCAGAACCTCCAACTTGCCCTCGAAGCGCTCCCGCCGCGAATGACCAACTCGAAATGATGCTTCAGTCACTCTGGGTCCCCCGATTATATGGCATTTCTAGATTTGCAGCTGCATGCCACAAGACGAAACAGAAACTTGCAGGATGCTAGATTTCAATCGGAGCATCGTCCCATCTTTCTGTACCAATCATGGTCCCTTCCAATTATATGCTCTTCCAAAAAACGAAACAAAAAAATATATAAAATGTTGTAACCAATACCAGATACTTTTCCAATATTTTGTTCTCATCTGTGTCTGTCTCATGCCTGCGTATCTACGACCTCTCTGCTCTGCCACCGAAATCTAACTTCATACACTCATTAGCATTTGAGTCCTTTGCGCGAGTTCAAATTGGTGTGTTGCCAGTCTGCTCCCACTTGCCCGTTCGACGTGTCGGCAGCGGTCTCAAGCTGTTTCCACACTGTTTTAAATTCCTACGGCAACATCAATGCTCCAATTGCCGATGTCCGACGTTGCACTCGGCTTTGTTCGCCTGACGTGTCGTGGGCAGTGTCCTATGTATCGAGCGTACTGTTGCTCACTCTCTCACAATATAAATGCTCCTCACGACGCATAAGTTGTAGTTCGGGAAGGAGGATCAATGAGATTTCTCAGGATCGATTCATGGCTCTTTACAGCCATGTCCGCGGACAATCCCGTCATTCGGGCGGGATCATGACTGATGCCGAAGACATATCAATGGTCTTCATTGTTGGCCATTGCAAGGTGACTATCCAGTCGACAGCTTTGAGCAGAGGCGCGATGTGGGATGCAGGAAGCCGTCAAAAGCATAACAAGATAATGTTATGGTCAGTGTTATGGTCGCATACAAAGAATGTAGTGTGCTCTGTGAGATCACTGCACGCAAGCCTGCAGAAACTTATTTGGAATGTAAATATCATTAAAGGACGACGGTAGGCAAATATTACGCAACAAACACAGAGATGAAGGATTCAGGGGGCCAAAACGCTGTTGAACACATGAAACGCCCTGCCACTGTCTGTAGCAGAACAGGGGAAGAAACAATGCTATAACGGATACCTTGCAAATGGTAGACATATCTGATGATTCATGGAACGGTTACTGTTAACAATAAAAGATAACATCTGCAACAGCCGAGGGTGGGGAAGAGTCTCAACGCAAGTATGACTGAATAAGGAAGCTTTTTCATATTGGCAACAAAACACATGAATGATAGTAGTGCTATGCGTCTTCTGCAATACCCAACATAGAATAATCGGCCACCTGTCTGACGAAACGAGTATCAGTGAGACTATTGAAAAACCACGATGAAGACGCGGATCACGCACGCTGACAATATAACGTAGCGTCTCTGGATCTTTACGGACCACGTTGCCGTGAATCCGCATTTTCATACCAGTGGCAAAGTTGGCCCATTCATAAGGCAAAGGCGTGAAATGCTCAAAGTGATAATCGACAAGGAAACTGGATTTGTCCCTTGACTGCACGACATGACAAGATGCTTGAAGGTCATTAGCGTTGTCATCGTGTCACAGCAGAAAGAGAGACAACGAAGAAGTGCTGTGGACATTTACAACTGGATGGTAATAGTTGTGCATCGCCGTGATCACCATGTTCCACGCGAGCATTCCGTCGTCTAGGTCTTCAAAGACGATAGATATGGATTTGCCGATGCCATCTATGACGGCGCGCCCCGCAAAAGAGTCGTAGGATTGGCGGAACTCACCGATGTCGATTTGGCTAGAAGCTGTGTGATGAATATAAGTGATGTCATGCTCGGTGTCTTGATGGAATCGGCCGGTGAGCGTTGTAAGGGTTACATAGAGACAGATACACATAAGGCATGGCTGTAGACAGGTACACATTATAGTTGTCAATTCGCCCTAGCTCCAGAAGACTTCTTCTTCACCGAATACTCTTCGGACGGAGCTAGGTGAGCATTATCACATTTCACTTGTCTTTTCTCTTGTTGTCTCTTTCTCTAGTCTTGTTAGTTGTGTCTGATTCGTTCCTCTTCACCGAATACTCTTCGGACGGAGCTAGCTTTGTGTCGTAAGGAATTATAGAGCCGGGTTTTAGAATACGTTGTCGAGCTACCAGCTCTTGAGCCACTCTGAGTGAAGACCTCCTTCAGGAGTCTTACACTTTTTTATTCTAAATCCAATCACCAACCTAGAACATCAAACCGACGCTATCAGCACTTGAAAGTTTTTTTCTCTCTTAGACATACCAAGACACTCTGAATATCCCGACACTAGACAACCGTGTGAGACTAGACTGCGCCACTGACAAGCGACACTTCATGGGATTTGATCTCCCATTGAACTTCATCAGCGACCCGGAATCGTTTCTAAGACGCCAAAGACAAGAAAAAGCAGCAATTGAAAGTCCACCGCCTCCCGATCCGCCGAGATACCACTATAAGCCCGAAGCCTCCATTGACACTCTTGACAGCAACTACACGTTGCAAGCCAGTTCGACCTTGACTAACTTTGTTACCTCGACACCTGCTGACCTACCGGATCCCTCTGAACCAACTATCACCGACGACGCAAGAATCGTGCGACAATTTTTTAACTCCAAATTGTCACAAGACACACCACATCCCCCGGGAAGCTTTGTATTTACACCACTGGCTACCATGGAAGGTTCGTCGAAAGACAAAGGACACCAGTCACACGACGAGGAAGACAAAGACGCGATGATTGCACGACTCGAAGCAGAGGTTGCAGCGTTGAAATCTGATAGAGATCGGATACGAGCATTAGAAGCTTCTATGTCTCAATTTCTTATGTCTCAACAATCAAGAGTCACCACCTCCCCGTCAGGTATAGGCGCGAACACCAACCTTGGACAGTACCAGTCACCCGGTACCCCAACGCCGCTAGGACCAAGACACCTGTCAAGCAGCTTACCAGTCATCCCGGAGAACTCTACGTTACCACCGGCCGGCAGTACCCCGCTTCACTCAAGCCATGCAAATGAATCGACGGCATCAGCTCAATTATTTGAACCAGCACCAAACTGGCGAGAACGAGAAACCACGTCGAGCCCGGGTGGAGCGCGACGCGTGTCCTTTGCACAAGCTATGCAACCAGCTCTGCAATTGGACAGGCAGAGTCTCTTTGACCGAAACGAGACGCCAGCGACTGTCAAACCGGTACGAGCATGTGATATCAAGTTGTCAGAAGCCCCGAAGTTCACTGGACCCATCGAAGATCCCGTCGCGTTGCTCAACTGGCGCCGCCTTGTCGAACAATTTTTTCGACTAAAGCAACTAGATGAGGTTCAAGAGAGACTAATCGTCTTGGGGACAATTGTTGTCAAACCACGGGCGGGTAACTGGCTTCGCCGATCTGAAGACGAACTGATCGGACTCTCTTGGGCGGAAATTATGCACGCGATGGCAACTGCAACGCTCCCAACTGGATGGCTAGACGACTCAGAAAAATCTATTCGACAATTGAAAATCAAAAGCAGCGAAGATTTTAAGACCTACGCCAACCGAGCACGAGACTTATACACCTTAATCGAAGTCGAAAGCTCAATCCAATTGAAGAATCTAGCAGAATACGTCGTGTGGGGAACTCCCGAAGTGTTTCAGCGCTGGGTAACGGATAGGCGCCTACTCAAAGCCGCACCGTTTAAATGGCTTGAATTTGTAGCAAGTGGCTCGGAGATCTGGTTATTACTACAATCCAGCAACTTGCTACCTAGAGCAAGCGTACCCCAAACTCAATCACACCACTTGGCCCCAGCCAACCGTACTGGAAACCCGAGAACAAACGGGAATTCTAATGATCGCCGAACGCCCGAAGAACGTGCGGATTACGCCTGGCACTTTCACCAGTACCTTTGACACCGTGGGATTTGCTCAGCGTGCCGAACGGAATGCGGCAATCCTAATTGCAAGGGCCCGATCAGAGGAGGCTACATCGCACTCCCGCCTCTGAGCGTGTTCGACCCAGGCCCACGACCGAGAGGTCGCTCCAATCCACCAGCCAACGCAACCCCTAGACCTACCGCACCAGCAGGAGCACCCACACAACGGCCAGCAGGAAGGCCAACTCAACCGGTACCAGTGAGAGCCGTCAGTCAAGGGGTGTCATTCAGTCAAGCACCAGACCTATTCGCGAACGAATTAGAACGTTATGAAGAAGCAGATCGCATCCTAGTAGCTCATATGAAAGAGGAAAACGAAGGAGGGTGCGTTGACAACACCAAACAAACCAGATCCATCATCCTTGAATTAATGATTAACGGTTGTCCTTTACGTGCATTGATTGATTCAGCAGCCGAGACCAACCTCATGTCGGAAACAACGGCGAAACGAGCAAAAATCCCGCGTAGACCACTAGTGACACCAATTGAGGTGAGTTTGGCGATCTCGACTACCTCCACTCCGCACGTAATCAAGGAATTCTGCTTTGCTAATGTCAGCTCAGCAGACCCAAAATTACGATTCGGCTCAACCTTCTTCAAAATCGCACCGCTGGGGACAAGTTATGATGTCATATTGGGAACCCCTTTCTTGGAAAAATTTCACTTGGATGTTTCACTCAGAAATCGAACGGTCACACATGTACCTACAAAAACTATTCTGATTGAAAAAGTTGTGCAAGAAGAAATCACGTCTGCAATGAAAAACTCAATGGTGTCTTGTGTGATTCAAAATCTTGAACGTATGCAAACAAATCGTGACTTGACGATGAGAGAAGAACGTGTGCTCAGAGAATTCTCTGGCCTGTTTCCCGATGAGCTACCAGCAGTAGCTGATGACGACCAGGATGATTTCATCGCGCCTGAAGGGCAAAATGCGGCATCCAAGGTTAGACATCGTATCATCTTAACTGACCCAAACGTTGTCATCAACGAAAAGCAATACAATTACCCGCAAAAGTACCTACCCGCGTGGGGGAAGCTGATTGATCAACACTTGAAGGCAGGCCACATTAGGAAATCCACCAGTCAATACGCCTCGCCTTCTATGATCATCCCAAAAAAGGACCCAAACGCCTTACCACGATGGGTCTGCGACTATAGGACACTCAACAAGTTCACCGTCAAAGATCGAAGCCCACTGCCAAACATCGATGAAGCAGTCCGCCTGGTTAGCACAGGGAACATCTTTTCGATAGTCGACCAAATCAACTCGTTTTTCCAAACACGGATGCGAGAAGAAGACATTCCCCTAACAGCCGTGAAAACACCTTTTGGGCTGTTTGAATGGACTGTAATGGCGATGGGCCTGACGAACGGACCTGCCACCCATCAGAGCAGGGTGGAAGAAGCCTTGGGGGACATCATAGGTACATACTGCGTGGTATATATTGATGATGTTGTGATATTTTCAAAGTCAGTAGAGGAACACGAGTTACATGTGAGAGAGGTGTTGAGACGATTGAAGGCAGCAAATTTGTATTGCTCACCATCTAAGAGTAAGCTGTTTCGAACAAAGATAAATTTTCTAGGCCACGAAATCAGCGCAGATGGAGTCTGTCCAGATGATGCTAAGGTTGAAAAAGTTTCCAAATGGAAGACACCAGGAACCCAAAAACAATTACTCAAATTTTTGGGCACAGTGCAATTCCTGAAGAAATTTATCGACGGATTGGCCCACTATGTTGCGACGCTATCACCACTGACGAGCAGCAAGAGGAAAAATGAACCATTTAAGTGGGGTAAGAAAGAAGATGAAGCATTCGAGAATATCAAGAAGATCATAACCACCTTGCCAGTATTACGACAACTTGATTACGACTCCGACGAGCCAATCTGGCTGTTCACGGACGCCAGTGGTCATGGCCTTGGCGCGGCCTTGTTCCAAGGTGAAAAGTGGGATCGAGCTTCACCGATAGCTTACGAGAGTCGTACAATGACGGCGGCAGAACGAAACTACCCCGTACACGAACAAGAACTATTGGCGGTGGTAAACGCGCTGCAAAAGTGGAAACTACTTCTCTTAGGACTAAAAATCAACGTCATGTCCGACCATCACTCGTTGACGCATTTATTGACACAAAGAAACATCAGTTGTAGACAAGCTCGTTGGCTAGAAACACTATCACAATTCGATCTGAAGTTCAACTACATCAAGGGCGAAGAGAACACAGTCGCGGACGCATTATCAAGAAGCGAGGAAGTTTCAGCTTGCCACATAGCAGCCACACTCGACAAGGAAACAGTCCTGATGATTCAGAATGGTTATGCAGGCGACGCCTTCTGTACAAAAATCAAGAAGACACTACCGTTACGAGAGGGAACCGAGTGGAAGGGTGGTCTTATCTACGTGGACGGACGACTACTCATCCCGGACACGGGGAACCTACGGCAACGTCTGATGGAACAAACACATGCAGCATTAGGCCACCTAGGTACCCTGAAGACGTTATCCGAACTTCGAGAACAGTTTTTCTGGCCTGAAATGTCATCGCAAGTCAAGACCTTCATAAGCTCCTGTGACAGCTGTCAACGACTGAAAGCCAGGACAACGTTGACTTCAGGAAGACTGCAAGCTACAAAAATACCAACTCGACCAATGGAAGACATAGCTCTCGATTTCATCGGACCTTTCCCAAAAGTTCGTGGATACGATATGATCTTATCGTGTACTTGCCGCTTGACAGGCTTCACGAGAGCCATACCGACGTGTCAGACTGATACAGCGGAGAAAACCGCCCAGAGACTTTTCGGATCATGGCTAGCAATCTTTGGAGCACCTCAGACAATGATAGGCGACAGAGACAAGGCATGGACCTCTAAATTCTGGCAGGAACTGAACCTTTTACTACATGTAAACGTGAATCTGACTACTTCTTACCACCCACAAGCAGACGGCAGGAGTGAAAAATCCAACAAGACCATCGTCCAGATTCTACGCCAACTCGTGAATAATCGACATGGACGATGGCTTGAAGCACTGCCTGCAGTTGAATACGCAATAAATAGCGCACTCAACGTCGCGACGGGAGTCTCGCCATTTGAATTTGTATACGGCCGAAAACCACGATTGTTTCCCATTGCCAAACGTTTTGACGAAGTGGGAGGCAATGCCGCGAAATGGATTGAACACCGTCAAGCATTGTGGGCGCAGCACCGCGATAAGCTGTGGACTAGCCGGATAACACAAGCCGTACACTACAACTCTCGTCGAAGGCAAGGCGACACACTCTCAACCGGGGATTGGGTACTGATTGACAGCAAGGACCGACAACAATTGGTTGGAGGGGAGGGGAGGCCGACGTCGAAACTGAGACCCCGATACGATGGACCCTACGAAGTCGTCGAGGTCCTTAACGGCGGCCGTAACTTTCGGCTGAGGTTAAACGAGGAGGACAAATCCCACGACGTGTTTCACATCTCGAAACTCAAGAAGTACAATTGGAGGGAGGAAGAGCAAGGCTCAGAGGGCCAAAAGTAAGTCCTCCCACTTAGTATGCACCGCCAAGGCAACTATCCCAAAAAAATTTTGTCAAAACAATACCTCGGCCACACATGTGAGCATTATCGTTCGACCCTGGTTTGTTTTGCAGTTGGCGACGACGGTGTCAACGGATCAGCAAGACTTTTTCAGGACATCAAGATTGATAAATTATTATTATGAAAAATTTACGCAAGACCTCAAGACATCAAGTTTTATGAACTCATTTCAACTATCTTTTCAAAGCTTATCATCAAAGTTTCAAATAAAAATTTCTTTTCGTTACTCTATTAAATTCATGAATGGTTATGTGTGTGTTTCTTTTTTTCTCTCTTTATTTCTTTCAATTTCTAAGCGGGACGAGTCATGTCAATTTGAGGGCGCGTTATGCCATTTTTTTTCTCCTTTTTCTAGTTCTCTTTTTCTCTTTTTTTTTCAAACAACTTAGGGGCAATCATTGGGATTTTTTTTAGAAGGGGAGGGATGTAAGGGTTACATAGAGACAGATACACATAAGGCATGGCTGTAGACAGGTACACATTATAGTTGTCAATCCGCCCTAGCTCCAGAAGACTTCTTCTTCACCGAATACTCTTCGGACGGAGCTAGGTGAGCATTATCACATTTCACTTGTCTTTTCTCTTGTTGTCTCTTTCTCTAGTCTTGTTAGTTGTGTCTGATTCATTCCTCTTCACCGAATACTCTTCGGACGGAGCTAGCTTTGTGTCGTAAGGAATTATAGAGCCGGGTTTTAGAATACGTTGTCGAGCTACCAGCTCTTGAGCCACTCTGAGTGAAGACCTCCTTCAGGAGTCTTACAGTAGTCAGTTTGTCCCTATCAGATAGGTCTTGTAAGATTGTCAAGATTTGCTTCTTATAACCCAAGGAAAACAAGATAAGAAAGCCGTTGTGATAAAATAACCCGCGCTTCACAAGGGTGTTTGAAAAGTCTTCTATTCACTTTCAATATTAGAGACCAAAAATAAATTTCTCGATCCATCAGGAGACTGTGTCAATGTAGGTCTTCCAAGCTCAGCCATTCCGTCATACTGCATAGTCCAAGTCCTTGATTCATAACATATGTTAAAAAAGTAAAATTCAAAAAAATTATAAACTGTTTTCGAAATCAGATGAGCTTCAAAAACTAACTTTGATATTGGGCCCCACCCCCTGGGGTCTACAGTGAAGTCGGCACCTCGCCTAGATATCACACTCGCCTAGATATCACAGTCAAGCGTGCTTCAAATGCTTGTGTGTTTGAGCTGGGAAGATATAGCAGTACAGCAAAGTCCAGAGATGATCCCATAGGTTGACAGTTGTGGCCAAAATGGTTACAGGGGTTTCCATATCATTAGTGAAAAATTGAAATCACTTACAGGACTCCGTCACGCGCCTCACGATCCTCCTGCAGCGTCAATAACAATTTGTTTGTTTCAATCCCCGAGCTGAAAATACTTCCTGATGAAGTTGTGTCTCGGGATTGAGAGCGAGTATGTGTAAGATCCACCTTTCCATACTGGAGCCATCTGGTCAGAATTAACTCGGAGATGATGAAGAGGCAGACCACTTACGGCATTGACACCAAGCGAGAGGCCAAATGAAGTATCTCTACCCCGATGCACTGTAGTAGGTTCTCCAGTCGTGTGAACAACTCCTTGACTAGGGTGAATTGTCTAGGGCGGAAAAAAGTGCGATTGAGCTCTGATGTCCTGGATGTTGGTTGAAATATAGCAAGCAAATAGGATGGGATACCTTAATAATTGGATTTTGACTGCCTGGATCCGTCGGTCCGGGAAACAATGAAAGACTGATTACCACGTGTTTGATCCTTGCATGTGGGCGACTAGGATGGGAAACGGTTCGAAAACCTGCCCGGGAAGATTCCAGGCATCAACAATTGACCACAATTGATCGTAAGGGGAGGGCTGTCCCGCCAGTTTTTTTTGTCCAATGAAAAATGTAATGACAAACCTAATAAACAGCTTCTATAACCTAATATATTCTCAGTATAAAGACAGTGAGTCTTAGTCACCAGCAGTCTTGTGATTATAAATTAAAACATCTATCAGTAAAACACTTTGAAGCTCGGTGTCACGCTAGTTGTGATTGAGGAATGCTCACCTGCTCGTGCCAATATCAACGTCTGCAATCAGATCTTCTTCCGGCGGTATTCTGCAGCACTTTATCCAAGGTTGTCTTAGTGCCGCAACCCTCCTCGCCGTGTACTTTTCACCCACCGATTGACCTGGCAACCACCGCTTTCTCTCATCTAACCAGGTTGGTCGCCATGTGAAGACTTCAAACGTCTCACTGAGCGGCTCAAGAGACGAGGGGATTGAAGTGACATGAGAATATCGAGATCCTGATTGGTCAACTTCAAAATGTGATTCTGACATCGGACAAGCGCGCAGTCCTGGGTCGCTTTCATCGAGAGGAGGGTTGATCAAATGCTTGGCTTCAGCGTTCTCCGCCACCGAGGTCACGCTGGGACTTATAAGGGATTGGGAGTGACACTCGGGATTGGTATATGGTAGACCCTCCGCAGACTGCGTGTTGAAAGAAGGCATCACGCCAGAGCTGGAATCGTGGTCAGGAGTACTCATGCTCGTATAATGTGCAATAGTGAATTTAAAGGGAGAAAACAGTATTGATTGGACTTCAAATTGAGAAAGAAAGTACGGATGTGACTGTTCTATTAATCTATAAGCGTAAACGTAGAAGGTTCCCTGAGACTTGGAGAGATGGAATGTGATCGAGAGTGAGACTCTTTTATAGCAGAAGATCAAGACCTATACGTACAAACTGTTTTCAAGCCTAGAAGTTGAAGTTGGTACACAGCAACCTGTGAGATGAAAGCCGCATCACAGCAATTGGGTGAAGGTTGGTCAGCTCTCCGACCAAAAGTCCCAGTACGGCCGGCCCATGCTTTAAGTGCCATTTTGTCCTAGAGAATCGGCGGGCAAGCCTGCAAGGGGTTTCCGGCCACATCCTTGCTTTCTCACAACACAATTCACTCCCCAATTTATCATGAAGGACACGCCAAAGCATATGTCAAATTTGCTTGGCGTCAAGACCATAGTCCCACACAAAATACTACCTACAATCAGGACCGTGGAAAGCTCTGGTTGAGGTTGCTATGAAAAACCAGGAAAAACCTTACCATTTTTCAGACCAAAACAAGAAAGTGGAAATTTTTCGGTCAAAACCTGACCATTTCATTAGGTACCTCGAAAGAAAAAAGGGAGGCACTGGGTTCTATTTGCCTAGTAATTTGGTTTTAATTGCATAGTAGTTTAGAGAGAGCATATCAGTTGGCATAAAGCATAGTAGAAAGAGAAATGAATAGATAGTAAAGACAAAATCATTGCATAGATAAGTTGTAAAGAATCAGTTACTTTCAATGAGAGTCAACATGATTGTTTCTTTGAGACTTTAATTTTGAGACTTTGTCCTCATACCGGCTGATCAAATGTTTGGTATGAGAGCCTCCCAACATTTCTCTGATAGCCATTGGGATTGAGTAGCAACCCCCATCCACAGACATAAAGTTGCAGCCAGTCAAAGGTCGAAAAACATAAGCCATGTCTGTTGCATGCACAAGTGCAAAGGTCGGACCATCTCTGCGGTGCGGACAAGTTGACAGGGCAACCGGAAAAGCTGGATCATAAAATAAAATGTGGATAGAAATGTGTGACAACTCCTTTCAAGAGGTTTCAATGTTGCCAAAGCAGTGTTTCCCACTTTTGTGCTGGTAAACAACCAGAGTGCAACCCAAATAAAGAACCTACAGATCAATGAAAGCATCAGCATTTGTTCAATCAAAGTATTGTGGTTATACAGATGAGACTGGCATGATTTTTGATGTTTATCACAAATTTACCCGGCTCAATTGTGTTCTGAGTGCTGATGATAGTGATGATACCACTGTAGAACTCTTTCAGTACACAGCTGAAAGCAGAGCCAAGAAGGGGAGGAATGAAGACACAAATCAACAAACACACACAATCAAATTAAGAGAAATAAGTCTTGAGATGGTGAATTGAAAGACTTCAATCAAAGAAAGAAATGCCCTTCTTAAACAGGGACTTTGATTATCAATGAATTAAATTTAAGACCTTCAAGTCTTTGGATTAATAAGAGCCAGGCTGAAATAGGACAATAACTTCAAAAATAGCACAATCTAGGCGCACTCAGGCACCTTACAAATGAGCAAATGAGCTTACAACTCAACAAGAAATTAATTAAAAGATGAATAAGGGTCTTATTATTATAAAATTCCAACTCTCATTAGTTGTTTACCTGAATGATAATAATAAAAGATAAAAGCTTATTCTAAAAATCTAGTAACTATTTTTGCTAACTAAAAGGCTCCCAAAGGGAAAGAAAAAAGACCCTTGACTATATCAAAATTGAAACACACACAAAAAAAGAAAGTAAGACAAAAACAACCCTCAAACTCGAAATCCACCTTCAAACAACTTTTTCACACACAATTCATTGAACAACCCCCAAATTAAAATTGATAAACATCTTCAACTCACCCACATGTATCATTCACAAATTTTCAAGCACACATTTATCATCAAAACTGAGCTGTTTACCACAAAAACTGAAAAATCCGCCAATTTACCCTTAAAACCTGAAAAAAGATAAGAAATAGGGACTGTATCAAAAATCTGAATAGACAGAAAAAAAGGTCTGCTTCCGCTCTACAACTTTGCTCAGCCAAGCTAAACTCTAACTCTATTGGTTGTACCCTTAAAATGAAATTCGATTTTATGTGAAAATACTCGAAATTGAATTTACCCAGTTTACCACCTGATATTACCACTGATAATGCTGTATATGGTTTATAATTGATTTTTCATGCTCAGATGCGCCCATATGATGCCTTCCACATGATTTACCCTCTAAAAAACTGATGTAGTACATTTGAAATAAAGTCTCATGATTGAAAATGGAGCCTTTTATGGAATTTTGAAAGCCATTTTCGAGTTTCAAAATCATCCTTTTCATTTGTGATTTTGTATTTGCCAATATTGGTGTTTGATAATCTGATGAATTTATAATTCAACACCAATCCCTACTTGCTTTTTCAGTTTACCACCCCAGTTTACCACCACCCCAGTTTACCACCATCTGTCTGAGTTGCTGGATTTTCGAAATTCAGCCTTATTTAAACCCATACCTCAAAACCATGATTCCTCTACACATAACTTGTTAAAACCATACACATCTGTAACCATGACTTTTTAAACCCATAAAATTCGAAATTTCAAGTTTAAGCCTGTACACCCTATGTAACCCATACAACATTCAACTACACATAACCTCTAAACCCATAAATTCGAAATTTGACTTCATTAGGGGTTCTCAAAGTAGACCCGGTTTGTAAAAACCCGGTTGACCCAGTTGACTTTTTGGCTGTGATCTGTCAAAAAATGTCAACTCGATACACAAGGTTACTGCCAAAAAGCAACCGGGTCAACTGGGTTTTCTTGAAACCGGGCCAACTTTGAGAACCCCTATTTTACACTACACCTCATCCATCAAACTACATAACCCATAAAAAGAAAAATAGAGAAATAAAAATATAACACTTCACATAATAAAACTTGACATATATGATCAAACTAAATAAGATAAAAAATAAAAAATGAAAATTGAAAATTGAAATTAAGTAAAGAGAGAAAGAAAATGAAAAAAAGAAATGAACTAAATAAAGAACTAATTTAAAAACACATTATTGATGTAATGTTCTAAAAAATGTAGTTTCTCGTATTTTAAAATGAAAGTTAATAAAATAATGGGGTTACCCCAATTCTGATTTCCACACCACCATCAAAAAGACCTTGCAGGGTTTCATATCCAAGGAGCAATGTTCTGTTCAGTAATCCAGCCATGTTTAGCTTCACATGGATGTTCCAACAATGTCTATGTTTGCCATAAGAATAAAAGTTTGTTTGACTTTTCATGTGGACCGTGATGATCTTATAGCATGCACTGGGATCAAGACAACCATCTGTGTTGGTAGAAGCTACGGCCACTTGTAACTTGACAGCATTAAATTTAACCCGGTCTTGCTCATTGCCCTTGTGTCTGTGAGATTGACTGTGGTGTTTTTCTCAAAGATCAACCAAAGCCTTATTGTGAAGCTTTCAATCTTCAATCAAGCTCCAGATGTTCTTTTGGGTACATTGTTTTGCAAATATGGTGAAGATTGATTGTGTTCAACATCTGTAGATGAAATCCAATTCAGTCACAGTTATAATTGAAGCATAGACAGAACTTACCTGGGTTGAGGAGCCTAGATATAGACATGGCTGCACTCTGGACTGCTTCAGAATTGATGTTCTCATCTAGCTGATTGAGTTCTGTTCTTTGCCCAACATGGCAGCCACCTCCAATGCCTGGTCTTCTGGACAGTTGCTGGGTCTGTAAGCGTAGGTGACTTCATAATCTTTGGCAAGACTTTTGGATATATCTGAAATTTTGTGAGATGAGGTTTGTCAACTTAGCCTTGGTGTATCAGAAGTAACAAACTACTCTAAGATGCACGTACCTCACTTGCTTTGGATTCAGGAGATAATGAAGACTCTGGGGAAATAGTATCAATAATCTCATCTTCAGATAGATCCAGATGTCCCATTCCGGCAAAGTGAATAGGGCTGTTTGCTTGTTTGCTGGCAATTGCTAGATTGTCAGAGATCTTAGCATTTGTAGGAAAGTAGCTGAGTGATTTGGTGTTCAATCATGTGGGCTCCTGTCAAATCTGATAACCTGCATGCACGTGTTCTGACGGTGCCAGCTTCATCTTACCCATTACAATAGTTTTTATGACTGCAAAGATCTTGGGGATCATAAGGTGAGTGTTGAGAACAATTAATTTTTCAGAAATAATCTGCATCCATCCAAAGATATGTTCACAAGCTTTGCTGCCATGCTTCAAAGGCAAGAAAGGGATTTCTGAATAGTGTTGACAATGTGATATCATCAAGCTGAGCAAGCTTCATGCAAGAGTTTTGAATATCTTGAAGCTTTGAGGGGATATTCCGTTAGAGTCTGTTCGGCTGCCTTTGACCTTGCTGGCATAGACTTGCAAGGTGTCTGCCTGCGGATCTGCAGGTAGACCATGTCTGCCACAAGGCATGTACCAGGGTTTGGTGCGTTTGGTACACTCGCCTTGAAGTGTACTTGACCTTGAAACTTATGGGTTTTCTCCCTTTGCAAAATCCAATGTTGCGCTCCTGGTTTCAGGTCTATGGGACTAGTCAGGTCAACCTGCAAGATTCGACCAAAACGTCAAACCTGGCTGGTCAACAAATTTGGCTGACCGACCTCAAGGTAGACGCCTCAAAGGTCGACCACAGCTTCTGTACCAAACAACAAAACTTCAAGTGTACGTTTCAAACTGCTTCAAAGCGTACGCCTCCGGTTTTGGCTTGGTCAACCTGCAAGGCCGAAGGCAGCCAAACGGACTCTTATTCTTCATGCTCATGATACTATTGGGCTCATCTTGATGTCTCTTCAAGTGATTTTCCAGCATCACATGGAAAATTTGGTGGTCCATGCTGATCTGATCCTGTCTTGATGACTAATTTCT